GCGTGTGCGTTACCAGCTGTTTGTAGTCGATCTGCTGTCGGATGAGTTTGTCTTCACTGAGAGAATAACGAGCTTCTCCGGTGATGGCGTCAATCGGTCCCTTCTCCATCTGCTGCTTTATGGCACAATACAGCATGAAGAGAGGCTCGCCCGCACACTCCTGAAGGACAGGAAGAGGGGAGGGAATGAAGGGAAGGAGGGGAGATTTTTTTTTAAAAGGAGGAAAGAAGAGAAGGAGGAAAGCCAGGTTTATTACTACAGTTTAATCCTCAAAACTCATCAGGGGGATTTAAGCCAATCCCCTTCATTCCCTATGAATAAATTAGCTGCAGCTCTGATCTGATTGGTCACGCTCAGAGCTGAGAGGCAGACTTTAATGAGGTCAATTAGGGGGAGCAGGAGGAAAGGTAGGAAGGAAGGAAGGAAAAAGCAGAGAGGATGGTGTACCTTGAGGAATCGATGGAGGAGGAAAGTGAACCAGTTCGTCAGCATCTTCTCAGCAACAGACTCGGTCCTAAACACATATATACAGGTCGGAGGTCATTAGTGAAAACATTAACTCCTGCTCTTTCCTGATTGGTCACATCAAATTGGACAGGAAGAGCTTAATGAGGTCAGTTAGAGAGCAGGAGGCAGGGATTTGGGGGTTGAAGGAGGAAAGACAGGGCTGCTACACCGGCTTCATAATCAAGGACTTTTATTCTGAAGTAGCTCTTAGACATGGGATGCGACACATTCAGTGCAGGCTGTTACTCAGCCAGACGTGGATTCATTCAGCAGATCAGCTTTAATATTCCAGGTGTGACCACCCACTCACACTGAAAACAGTCAAACTTAAAGTGAACAGCAGGGAACGCACCTCCTCAGCAGCAGTTTGGGATGGTTTCTGTTCTCCAGGTTTTTCTCAATCAGGTCGGCCAGCAGCTGTTTTAACACCACTGTAGCATATTCCATCCGACCCTGAAGAGGCAAAGACAAAGACTTAAACCGCTCAGCAATTATTTACATTTTTTTAACTCATAATAGGTTTACAAGCCTCTACTGCTATCACTACAGGTGTAGTAACCAGCATAATTAGCAGGCTGTAGCACTGTGACAGATACCTGCAGAGCAGCCATGAGCAGGGAGGCGACGTTCCCCCTGTCTCTCATGGAGAACGACCTCTGAGCCTCCAGCGTGTGGATGAAGGTCAGCAGGAACATCTTGTTGTTCAGCAGCTGGCTGAAGAGACGCAGAGCTTTCTCCACATTGGCTGGAGACTAAACAGATGCATGTGCACTTAGTTATTTAAACACAAACAGAGAGTCGCTCACCAAGAGGTCAGGTCAGAGGTTAAAGATAACATCAGTTAACCAAATAAACATCAACAAATCCACAGTGATATAAATATAAATTCATTATTTAGTTGATAAATCTAAATAAACTAGAAAAATCCTAAACAACCCCCCAAAACCTAAGACCTAAACATGTGGAAATAAATCAGAACAAGGCAAAAGACTAAATTTGTACAAGTGGTTATTAATCTGAAAAACCATCAGAAATTTAAATGGATTTAATAAATAAGCCCGGAGGATGAAAGAAGGAAAGAGCAACAAACTCAACCAGATGACAAAAGCAGAATGAACCTGAATAAACATGAACAAACCTGACAGATGTGGAATAAATCTAAGTAACCCTGAACAAATATAATAAATGTAAGTAACCCTGAACAAAGAACCAAACTGAAATAGGAAAAAATGTGAAAAATTAATAAATAAAAGATGAACAAATCTGTACAACAGACAATAAACCTAAAGATATGAATGAGAATAACCTTCAATAAAACTGACAAAGTTCAAAAACAAAACCTGAAAATAGAACTAAACAAATTTCAATAAACCTAAAGGGGAAATAAATATGAATAAACATAAAATGTTTGAATAAACCTGGTTAAACTAAATAAAATTAGAATAAATATAAATAAAAGATCACAAATATAAATGTCTAAGCCTGAAAGAAGGAGATTTTGTCTTTTTTAAAAATAGAAATAAATAGGAATAAACCTAAAAAAACCCAAAACAGTAATAATTTAAATATAAATCCACAATCAGGGAAGAAAAACTAATCTCTGGAAATTATAGTTCACCAAGTTTAGGAAATTCTTTCCACCTGTGGGCTGATTTGCTGCCACACCCTGTTATTATGATCAGGGAAAAATTGTGGATCCAGAGACTCAAAGATCCGAACATCCTGCTGTATTGTACATACGTCAAGCTCTTTGAGGACGGGGTGTTCTTCTATCCCAGGGAACATGACCCTCATGGTGTATGTCCGATATTCCAAGAAGGGAATCTTCACTCCATCCATGTCATTGGTAAGTTCTTGGATGTCTGTCTGCAGTTCCGCAAAGGCTGCGAGAGGAAGAAGAACATTAAAACAAATCACCACAGAAGGAAGGACTGGAGGTAAGGAAGGAAGGCAGAACACACCCTCTTTGCACTCTAGCGCCACCCGGCTCTCCAGGTTGTCCATCTGCAGCTGGAGGCGTTTGAGCGTGCGGTCGGCATCACGGGTCTTCCTCTTGTAAGCGATCAACACTGCGATGATCGCGATGAGCAGCACGCCTCCGCCTGCTCCGATCCCAATGATGGCAGGCAGCGTCAAGGCACTGTCGGAGTAGATATGGAGCATGCCCGGGGAGTACTCCAGACCACCCACCAAGATCTACGGAAGGCAGAATAAAAACGTGTTTATGACATGGTTACCTCCCAACATCAAAGTTTTTTTCCCTTTTGATCAATTTCATAACTTTTTATCTACTTTTGATTATCTCACAGTTGTCATACCTTATTTCAAAGTGCCATAAAGACTCATATTGTCATGAAAGCTTCATGAAATGGACTCTGTGATCAAAAAGTCACATATTTTTCTTATATTAGCCTATTTTAACTGTTAAATCCAGAGTTACATTTAAAACCCTTTAGCTGTCAAAGTCCTGGATGATCATCATGTCTTAAAGACCTCATGATATCATACTATTATTCTAGAGCACTTCTCTCTCAAACTGTAGGATTGCTCGAGATATTTAGAGTTTCCAAAAGTCGAATGGGAGACACAGTCGTCTGCTATCAGGCCTCTCTCCTGTGAAACAGCTCCCAATTTGGGTCCAGGAGACAGGCACATCTTATATTTTATTCCAGTTATGATCCCATAACTGTGATGCTAATGTGCTTGTTTATACCCGTCCGATAGTTGTGATTCACTAATATTCAGTTTATAATATAAAGCTGTTGTGAACTGGCACAATATGAATAAAACTGTATGGAATTATCTGAATTGAGGCATTTTGCTGCTTTAAGTACAATTCCTCCCTTAAATTACTCTGTTACATCCTTCATAACTAACACAGTTTAGCTTTGGTTAAAGAAAAACTGTAAAGTTTTAAATGCTGCCATCCACTGTGCAGATGTTACACAGTAACTTTGGTAATGATACTTTGTTGCAGGAGAATACAGATTTTCAGTCTTTTAAAGAGACAAAATTGTTACAAGTTATACAGTTAATGTATAAACACACACACAGATAGATCTTCATGTTATACGTGTTTCATTATCTTTGTTGTCTCTTGTATTAATGTTTCATTAAAGTGTTTCCTCTTTACAGCCTTTTAATATCGATTCTACAACAGATGAAGGTACTATGAACAAACTGATAAATAAATGATAAAGAAGATATGAACAGACGCCGGAGGGGAGGGAGGCATTCTGAAATGATAATCGATACTTTTAATAATATATCAATAGTTTGTCTCGTAGGAGGTTCTGTTCATTGATACCAACTTCACTTTGAAGAGCTCTGTGTGTGTGTGTTTGTATACATGGTGTTGTGAGGACATGAATGTATGTACAAAACCACTACGTGGGGACAAAAAAGTCCCCATAAGGTAAATCATATAAGTGATAAGAGTTTATTCATTTCTTCCACAGGCTGAGCTGTGTGTATCTCATTCATGTGTAAAGAAATGATTATTTCTTATTATTAATTACATTTTTTTCCTCATATATCTGAAAATGTTCTTGCTTTTGTTTATTTCGTATTTGTCGGTTATGTATGGTTAAGCTTGGGCTAAATTTAGTCTTCAGGAAATGAGTGTAAGGCAGTGCAATGTCCTCTGAAGTCCAGGAAACATTACTCTGTGTGCGTGTGTGTGTCACTCTATGATATGTGATATTGAACCAATTACCCATGACTCCCTGCGGCTGCACTTAATGACTTTCACCTTTATAAAGACCCCCTCCTTTTCCTCCTTATCCTCCTACTCCTCCTCTTCCTGTCTCTGTTCTCCCTTCAAAAAGTAGTTCACGGCCAGGATACTCAAGTCCATGTAAACACAGTCAGTGTCTATGACTTAGACAAAGTCACATCAAAGCTATTTTAGGCTTGTTTTTCATGTGATACTTTAGTGAATCCTGGTAGATGGAGGAGAAAAGCCAAATCCACTTACAGGTATTCAAAAAACCTTAAAAATATGAGTGAGACCTATTATTCTCATATCCAGCTTTATAATTCCACTGTACTAAAGTAGCTTTCTATTATTCACAGTTCAAAATAATCCTTATTTTTCACATACTGAGTTCACCTACTAGCTAAAACAAGCCATTTTAGGTGTGTCTTATTTCTCCCTGTAAGCCAACTTTCTTCTCATTGGCTGCCCCTCGTAAACAAAGACATAAACAATAAATAGGTGGCGTTTCTGTAGAGAAATAAGCACATTAGACATGAACTCTTAAAAGGTCTGGAAAAAGCTGACAGAAAGCTTTTCGGAAGCTTAGTCAGGAAATAAATTCAGCATAAAAAAAACCTTACATACACCAACACAAAATATTTATTTGTAATAAGTCGATCTATTGATTTCCTGCTTCATGGTTGGTTCATTTTCTGTTATATAAAGTTGATGTTTGCAGAGATTTTTACCTGTTTTTGTCCCTTTTATTGGCTATTTTTTGAATCCTTTTGGTGTCTTTGATTGTTTTTGCTCTTTGTGGTCATTGTGGTTGTTTTTTGTTTTGGCCATTTTTTAAATCTCTTTGTAGTCTGAAGCATCCTTATAATTTTTTTTCCCTTTTTCAGGTCTCTTTTGTATCTTTGTTGTCTGTTTTTTCTGGTTTCAGCGACTGTTTTGTCTCATTTTTGTATGTTATGGTCTCTTGTCTCTCTTTTCTTGCTTTGTAGTTGTGTGTTTCCTCTTTGTAGTTTACAGTTTTGTTCACTTTAAAAACAAAATGTAACAAACTTCCCTTTCCTGTGTCCTGTAACCTTTCTTGATTATTTCTTGCTGTTTTCTATGAATCACTGGTTAAGGTAAGAATGAAGAGGAGATTACTCACCACGACTCTCTTTTCTCCGGTGATATCCGGTGAATCACAAAGCAGCTGGTTCTCTGACACGGTTAGGAGGCAGGGTGACTCTCCAATCAGGACTGTGTAGTTCAGGCGGTTGTTACCAGGGGCAGGAGGGATCAAATTTTTACCCTGAAACACACAGACAAGTTTAGCTGAAACATTCACACATATACTTTGAATATGGAATGCATCAAGTTTGAGAACTCAAACCTTGAGGATGATGGGTGACCCTGGTTTCACCTCGAGGATCCCAGAGTTCCCCAAGGAGTCAAAGGTTGGGTTCGGGTAGTGTGTAAAGGGGGTGGAGTTAAGCACCAGCAAAGAGGACACCTGCACAGGATGAAAATATTAATGTAATGTCAACATGTTATTTAGAGAAAAAATGCTCCACGTGTGTTTTTATCTCTGATCTGTGTGATTCAGGTTATTTTTTTCTTTTGTGCGTGTCATAAGCTTGTACTATGATAAAGTAGAAGCTGCTGCTTGCTGTGGGTGAGCGATACCTGGTCGAAGATGAAGCCAAACTCATCGGGCCGCAGCGCCCCCTCTGGCGGGTCGGGTTTAGTGTAGACCAGACCAGGAGCCAAGCATGTCATTGTGCTGTCATTGACTACAGTGCAGTACTGGAGAGAAAACCATGAAGTCCGGTTAGGACGAAGAATGCAGGGTGACTGCAGAGTGCTGACGGCTAAGGTCGCAGCTGAAACTGGTTTAAAACAACATCTCACAAACAAACTTCATCTCCTCAAAACTCCAATAACCTTTATTGTATTTCAGAGCATGAAACCAATAAGTGCTGCGGTACAGTTTAAGGTCCCGATCCTGAACTTGGGAATAACTGAGGTCAGAGTTTTGTTCTTACATTGTTAGTTTCCACTCCTCCATATTTGGCTCTGACTTTGGGCTCCTGGATGGTGTGCAGGTTGGTTCCCGTCACCGTTATCAGCGTACTGCCACTGCGCAGATAACAGACGCACAGGTTACAGATCCATTATCGTGATTGATTATTTGATTAGTGATGAGGAGAATGTGGAGGATTTACTTGAGGATGGTCCAGTTTGGTTCAATGCTGGTGATGGTTGGGTCATCCGTGTATGTGTACTTGGTATCTGTGCTTGTAACCTCGGCCCTATCAATCTTCAGACGGATGGGGGCTTCGCCCGTGCCTGACGTGGAGCTGGGAGTTATGCAAACTATCTCCCGATCAGTTCGTCTGGTGGAGAAAGAGAGATATATCATTGCATCTGGTTATTATTTACCAACAGATATATTACTGGGTGCATGTCAGAGTCAAGAGATCCCAACTAACTTGACAAACAGACACTCCTCCTTGTTTATGTAGACAGTGACAGAGCTGCCGGCATTCAGGTGTCGACCCATCACCGTCAGTCTGGTTCCCCCAGAAACAGGTCCCTTCTCTGGATGGACACGGCTGAAAGTCGGGCTCTGGAGAATAAAACACAAAAGACAGCGGTGGTACATTAAAGAATAAAAAACATCAAGTATCATACAGGAGTTTTTCCACTGTATGATAATTTATAGTCCATTATAATTAACTCGGCTTCCTCCATGCGCTGTTAAGACAAGGCAGACCTGAAGATTTAAATTTAAGAAAGTCTAAAATTCCACGAAATCTAATCCTGATAACTCAACCTTTCAGTTTCCATCACAAATAGTGCGAAATGGTGACTTTAGTGCACGTAAACACACCAACAGGATGCTGAAGCACTCACCACGAAGGCGTACGTGTCACTGGAGAAAGCTCGATATTCTTCGTTGCACAAGCCGATGCAGACCTCTACCCGACCGCCTGGAGAGTGAGGCAGAAGAGCCTCGGCCATGTCACAGACGATCCTGCAGACAGAGAGACGGTCAGACGCACTCACACACTCCAACGTGTCCTCATACCAACATGCTGACACCACTGACCTCTCTGCGCTGATGTATTGCGAGGGGATGGGGTTACAGCGGACTCCCGCCACCTGAACATGGGCGATCTCCTTCACCTGAAGACCCAGGTTCTCCCCCTCGATTGTCACCCGAGTCCCTCCTTCCCGGGGTCCTGTCACTGGACTGATCTGTGGGGGAGGGGCGCAGCTTAGAGATCACATGACATCTGTTTCTTGATTTGCTGCAGCTGCCACTTACTGTCTGTCCATGTTTTCTTGTTGTCTCAATAAGTTATATTTAAATAGGTTTTAAAACAGAGAAAGACACAAATGATAAAAATGTCTGTGCAGTGATTATCCTTTAATAAACAGCATAAACTTAAACAACACATCTACAGGTTCCTATGGGATGGTAGCGCACACCCTCAGGGTCTTTTTAAGGTCATTTTAGGGAGTTGATTTAATTTTATGATCATTTGTGTTGCGTTGTGTTACTTTCCTTGACATAAACAAGGAAGACAAAATATTGTGAACACATGACTTAATATCTTCTAAAACATGTTCGACTCAAAACATGCAAAAAGCCAACATTACTAGACTGTTTATGTATTAGTGTTCTGGTACTTGTTGGGACAAACAGCATTGTGTAGTATTGTGCAAAGGCCTTGTTCTACCACACAACTGTACGTAATGGCAGAAATGTAAAATCAGGCCAAAATGGGTAAATTATTTTATTATTGGTTGTTTGCGATCATTCGAAGAGGGCTTCCAGTACTGATTACAGTGAACTGACAACCCTGCAGCATGCAAGTCGCAGGTTTGATTCCCTACCTTGGTGATGCGTGGGTGGCTGCAGCGCAGGTTGTGTCGGGTGTAGTGCATCCAGTTCTGTTCGGGGGACGGGCAGTGCTGTCGGAGGAGGCACTTCCTGCTTTCGGTGCACCACCCGCACTCGAAGGCAGTTGGAGCTTTGAGGCACTGACCACAGCTGGAGCGCTGAGCCTCACACTTGTACAGCAACGCTGACAAACAGCACACGTTTGATCAGACAGCAGCCAAACACGGCGTATCACAGGTGGAAGAGTCATGTGTGCATTTTTGCTACTGTCAGCATGAAGATATCATGAGGTGATTTTTCACAAAGCAGAAAGTTTAAGAAAAATCTGTTGATTATTTTTGCCTTTTGCCATTTAGTCCCATAACTTTATCCAAGTCTCACAGTTTAATCAGTTCGTTGGGGATGTGGTGTGATCACAGTCACTGTGGTGGGCCCACCAAGGGGTTAACCCGTCCCACTGGAGGAATTTTCAAAGAAACTTGCAGATAAATAAAGCAGGCTTTTTGGGATTTTGTCACAATCATTAAGAAAAGACGGATTGATCCGAATGGTTTTCCAAACGTTTAACTTCATCCAAGCCAGAGGTCTAAATCATCTGCAGGTTTATGGGCTTTTAATGATTCAGGCAATAATCTATTCCAAACTGAAAGATGTTAGGCTGAGAAATAATGACAGGTTTTTTCCACAAAGTTACCAAACTAAGTGCACATACTCTCATAATACATTGTTTAAATGATACTTATTTTTCTTACTCAGGCTGTTTATCATGTTTGGTAAAACTTTGCTTCATTAAATGTGAGAGTTGAGTGTGAAGTTTAAAAATAGCTTATAGCAACATTGTTTTACTGATTTGGTCCCCTTGAGATCAATTTGTTATATACGTAGCCCATGATATAAAATGAGTTTGACACCTGTGCTATAAATACTCAAACTCTGTCCCGACAATCAGCAGCAATCAGCTGCTCGACGCTGCTAAAATTACACGATGGCCCCAAAGCAAGAGAACACTGGAAGAAAATGAATGTTTGCAGCAACGGCGAGTGGAAGTTCAGGTCTGCAAGTTCAGAGGAAACAACTTGTAGAAGTTTGACTGATGACCTTCAGGAAGCAAACTCTGGAGCGGTGTCGCTCTGTTCTGCTAAGCAGCTAACCCACATCGCTGCAAGCTTCATGGAAGAACAAATCTCTGTTTGACACAAATTTCAGTGCCAGATGTTTGCAATCAAACATCTAAAGGGCTTAAATGCGTGTTTGGAACAATTCCTAGAAGGCAAATAGAAATTTTTTGCTTCACAGAAGTATGAGCATCTCTTTAAGTGTTCAGCATGGCAGTGGATCGATCATGCTTTAGGCCTGTGCTGCAGACACTGAATGTTTCACTGGCAAAAGGAAGCATGGATTCAACCATGAAAGGACCAAATTCCAGAAGCAAATATTATAAAAAGCTATGAAGAAAAAAAAAAGAAGAGATTTACAGGATGGAAATACTTCCAAATCAATGGGATACCTCAAGAGAGCCACAAAGCCCCTGCAAAGCTCACACCCAGCGTTAAATATCTCTAAGAGCATAGCAAATAGGAAGAATAACCCAGAATCCTGAGCTACAAAACGCCTTGAAAACCTTTCATTTGTGTCAATATGGGCTTTAAATATTGAGCATTTAAACATTTTTTGTTCTTTCTGTTTTCATTTACGACAAACAGAAACGCACACTTTTGTAGCTCTATATGTTTCATTTAAATAAACTTTATGTTTATATTTACTGATGGTGTCTCATTTGTTTCATATTCACCATACAAACTAAAAATTAAACTAGCCTGATTATAAAACAATCAAAGTTGTTAAAAGCTGGTTCTATTCTGACTAATCGACTCACAGATTTCTGAAGACGAGCAGTTTGATTAGCAGGTTTTACCTTTCATAGACGCGGGCTTGTCGATGAAGAAATCTCCATCCCAGACAATGGAGAAATCCACCGGGAGATCACCAGCCTCGTCCCCTTCATACCAATACTGCAGAGACACAGAGGGGGAGTAATTTAAGTATGGCACGTTTTAATTGGGAAACGGAAAATTTGATTCTGTGTTAATTAACGGGAAGCAGCAGGAACAAATTTTAATTAAAGGAGGAGAAGAACAAATCGATGTAGAGAAGAGAGAAGAACAAAAAACAATGCAAATGATTGTATATGCAGATAAAATATACTGAAGCCAGCGTTCAATAACCACACTGGCAACTGTAATAATATGAGTACAGCTGATATTCACACAAGTGTCAGTGCAGTCAAACATCAAAACTACCCTCCTGCTCCAAAAACAACTTTGAACCATCAAACCCTGAACTCCACAGACCTCTGGAGGCACCAAGGTTTTAGAGACTTTGCAGTAAGTTCTGGATGTTATCATGTGAGGCCACCATGGATTGGATGACTTTTCTTTTCCTCACCACATTTCACAGGAGTTCAGTCAGACTGAAAGGCTGAGGCAGCACCTTTAACTCCTTGTCATGTTCGCTGAGAGCCCCATCCTGCTGAAAGAGACTACTGCCATCAGGGAGTGCCAATGGAGGGTTGGCACATGTTAAACAGTCTGCAGACTTTTCAGGGTCTAAAAAAACCGTCCGGTGTGCCGCATTGAACCCTGGGTATACTAGTGACCAAAGCAATGCACAACAGGAAAATTGCTTTGCATGTAGACTTTAAAGAATTAAGTAACACAGTAATGGCAAATACCATACAGCAGACAGATATCCATCTTCAGGGATCTGAGCAGACATGTGCCTGAGACAGGATAGCCATTAGAGAAGATGAATGCAGGCCCTAAGTATTGCTTAACTGCAGTCATTGTTTAGGTAAGTGGTGCGCATCATAGCGACATCCATTTAAATAGCAGGAAGCCTTTTAAAAAAAAATCTTAAATGTGCTCTTAATTATGTCCGTGGTGCTGAGGTTGTGGCAGATTGCAAGTATGTAACAATATTACTGAAAATAACACATTTTGTAGGCGCTACAGCAGCATATGGTGAAAGTCCCACAGCTAATGTTTCTACAGCCGGCGTTACTTCAGGTAAGATCTGTACAGTTTCTCTTCAGAGAAATTGAGGACAGATGGTGCTGCTTTAAAGAAAAAGATGGAAAATGGACACACACACAGACACACACATACTGGATCGGTGTTGTCATGGCGGCTGCAGGTCTCTATGGTAACCAACAAAACACTGTCAAAGAAACAACATTATGGACTTAGAGCTGATAGGAACCTGATCTACCTGCCGGTCTCATCGGAGATAAACAGTGGGGTGTTAATGGAACAAAAATCTAAAAAATTTAACCTCTGTGAGCGTGAGTGTGTGTGTGTGTGTGTTGAACAATACACTTCATCTCCCATGCTGCTGAGAAGACAGAGAGGCTGTGTCCTGAATATGTCAGCTCGACTCCAAAGGCACCAGATAATCTGACGTCACACAGCCGCACACACAGTCGGTGAAACCGAAGTCGGGTTTTCAGAAAGATTGAAAATCAATGTGTCTTAATGACTCTGGTCTGCTGCTCATTTCATTAACTTACATCACACACACACACACACACACACACACACACACACACACACACACAGATTAATTAAGATGTGGCAGCTCTATAATCTTACTTCAGCAAAAGCATCTACTGTAAAAAAAACCTCCTGTATGACACTACAGGACAGAGTCTGCTGCACACAAACACACACACACACACACACACACACACACACACACACACACACACACAAAATTAACAAATTTCATTAAGTCAAAACGGGTTCAGGTCAATATTCCATCCTCAGCAAAAAATACTTCACCATCTAACCACAGTTTTACGGCTTTTTACCTCACACACACACACACACACACAC